GGCCATCGATGTCCACTAGATAAATGCATATTAGTATTGCCTAATTTCAATAATAGTCGTTCAAATTTTAAAAATGCCGGCAGTTTTAAAAACAGCTTATGTTTCGTTTTTCTAACATGTCCCTATAGTATAAATGTCACTATTACGACTGACAATTGTAAATTCCACAAATTTACTAAATGTCCTTAACTGGACAGTTGTAAATATAATAGTGAATGAAAAAAGAAATTATCATTCTACGTACTAATTTACATCAAGATAAAATGAAACTTCGAAATATGTATTCCAATGTGCTGATTCAATTAATTTGTACCAGAAATATAGAAATAGATATATAGAAACACATTGCTTCCACGCATTCGTTTTACGTTACAGTTTATTTGATTAAAATGTTTAAAAATAGATCTACCGTTTGAAAGTAATGATTGCTTGGAAACATGCTAGAAAATTTAAATTCATTTAATACCATATAAATTGTGTTAACATTCTCGTGTACAACATACAGTTTTTGTGAAATATATTATGCATTCAACACCGAATAAAATGTTGCAAAAAATATTCACAACCGACTGTTGATAGATAGCCATTTCCTTTCGGCGAACAAAACATGGATTGATTTTATTCCGCTGAAAACGTCACAGAAACACAATTTATTTGTAAATCTTTTGAGTGTGAGAGGATGTTATTTGATCAGACAAGTGTATTTTTCATTATTCCAAATCGTCAGCCTGTAACGAACTGGTTGTTAGTTTCAATACAGAGTGACTACACACATTTGTGATGTGATTTTAATCTTTTCATCGTTTCGTATACCAATCTAACGCAATTGTATATAAGGTAATCATTGTGCTGCTATTGAACTTTCAGAAAATAGTAAAAACAGATTTGACTTTTCTGCGAAGAAAATAAAGCAACAAGTAATTAAGTGAAATATTGCACGAAGATCTTGTAAAAACTTAAATATTTGCTTTTAAAATTGAGAACAATGCTTGTTTCCCCACAGTCGGTAGTTACAAGTTCCTGTTTTTAAGTTTATTATTATCTGTTACCAGATTTTTTACCAAATTTTCAATATTTTTGATTTTTGCATTCTTGTGCATCATATAGTTGAATGAGATAAAGTTCCAGAACATAAGCCAATATCATCGAACAAAGATGTCACAAAAATGTATTCTTCAAATGTATTTTCTATCAAAAATATTTTGATAAAACGAAATACATAAAATTTGAATGATATTAAATTCTGTCAAAAATGTATGATTTTTTGATATATCTAATATTAAAGTTGATGGAAGTTCGAGATATTTTTTGGTAAAAGATTTACATCTAATTTAGTCTTTCAATTTATCAAATTTTGAATTACAAAATCAATTGTCTTCTTGTTTGTACACAATGCTTCATTATCTGTTACAGACACTTGGTATAATTTTTACTTTATTGATTCATTCTATATTCATCAACATCAATTTCGGAAACAATAGATCCATAACAAAAATATTAGTAAATATGAGCAATTCTAATTACATTCAAAGAACCACCAAAAATTCTTATGCCCAATTTATTATATAGACTTGTTCTATAGAATCTTTCAATGTGTGAATAAGACACACACTCCCAATCTATCTTATCTAACAAAAATACAAGAAAATATGAAATAACATCTCCCATTACCAATACATCCACTTAAAGTTCGAGTTCCATTTCTCTTTTACCACTTACTAGAGACCCAAAGTAATGGGAAATATGAAGAATAATATTCATCCACATGTAATAATAAAGACGTACGATGATGAAAGACCATTATTACTCCATAGAAGGGTTTAATAGACTGTTTATATAGTGTTCCCATTGTCTACTGGTATTCGTTCCGGCAACTGCCTTTTTACAGTTGCGCTAGAACCGAGCCGAGCTCGCACGGCTTGCCTCGGTTCTGTTCATCTCGCAAAGTAAATGTACCAAGGCCATTCAACTTTCCCCGCTTCGTGCAAAAACGGCTCTGAGAACAATTCAAAATACTACATGATATTATTTTATCAACCTTCTGATTTCATTGTGAATGTTATAATAATTTAGTATTCACAATTACAATGGTTCTGAAACGAAATTATGAGAAAACCGACGAATATTCTTCTGCGTTATGTTCTGGTTGAAGGAAACTAGTCAATGTTCTTCTGGTTTATATCTGATGCTTGTCTGATTCTAACTGGTAAATATTGGATGTAATTCCGGATTTTTGGCTTACATCTCGATTGTATTGTAAATATTATGAAAATCTAAGTGTTCTGTATCAGAGTAGGCTAATTCTGATAAACATTTGATCAGCTGTGAAGATACTTATTAACTTTCTGGCTTTTCTAGAAGGCAACCCCACTGTTATCCTATTTATATTTGGCATACTTTTATTATTAAAATTTCTCTCATACTTTTGATCTAGATTTTTTATTTTCCTTTGAAAACATATTGCAATCTACATTTTTCAGTAAAACCCAATGTCAATATTAACTGACAACAAGCTGTCTAAAAGCCTAACTCCTAAACAACGGGGAAGCCCATCAGAGTACCAAGTATTAAAGTACCTACTTCGATTTTTATTCGAACACCAATTAAAACTTGTCCTGATGTTCCTTAGAAGTGGTAGGTTGATAATTTTCAACCATGTGGATTTTCTAGAAAGCAACCTAAGTGTTGTCCTATTTATATTTGACTTTTATTATTGGAATTTATAAGTCATAACTTTTTGATTATTAATACATTTGATGCAGTATTTCCGGGGAATGGATCTTTTCCTGTGAAAACATATTTCCATCTATATTTTCAAGTCAAAACCGATGTAAATATTCCTTGATATCAATTTGCCTAAAGTATGTATCAAACCTGGAACATTCTGCTGCGGAAACTGGATATGAAAACCGATATCAATATTGCTTGACATCAGATCACGTATCAAACCTGGAACTTTGTGCTTGAAAAGCCAAAACTTTAACCACTAAACCACGGAAAAGCCCTTCAGAATACACGAGAAAAATATTAGGCAATGTCTACTTAGATTGATTGTAGCTCATCCTAGTTTCATCATTATCCTTGATATAAATTTTGAACCCTGCTTACTATTTTTACCTGAATATTTTCTATTACTTCCTGATTTCGTTACCCAGTAAAAATTTTTAAATGAATGTTCAATGATATAACCAGAGTTCAAATACGCTAATTGCTGTTATATAACTCAAATGGGTTTTAAATTGATTCGTAATTTAACTCCACACATTAAGGGGTAACAATTTAAACCCTGATCGTCATCATCATCAGAACTCATTTTACATCCATTAGGCGAAATAGAATCCTTCCTTGAATTTCTACTGTATTTGATAATGGAAAGAAACTGAAACGTGTTGTTATTAATTATTAAAGCTTTATTAATTACTTATTATAATGAAGTGTAGAAGACAAGAAAGTGCATTTATGATGCCAATAAAATCGAGTGGTATATTACGAAAAGTTAAAGAACTCCGTAACTGCATGTGCTGGGTAGTAAATAATTAATGATTTCGAAGAGAAAAGGGAATTATCATTATAGATACAAAATGTTATGTGCCGATAAGAAAAACGCGAAATTAAATACATTCTAATAAAAGTGAAAAGATAATCAGAACGAAACTGGATCCGATGGAAATATTTTCCTGTTATTCAACACAAGACGTTGAGATAACAATAACACTTTCTATATTAAATCTGCAAGCTGGCGTCTTTTTATCACGTTTAATGAAAAGCTGACAGTTTTTTACGGACTTATAGAAAAGTTTCACATTGTGATTTCTACTCTATAATCTGATTATAGAATAATGCAGAAATGTAAATGGGAGGTCTGTTGTTTATCTTTAGTTAGAGATTCATGCATGGTACGTAAAATAACAACCAGGCCGATGAACTCTAGCTGAAATGACATATTCGGCGAGATGTAATTAAACCAATTAACTGTTTGTAAATAAGGTGAATTCCAGATGTTTAGATCTGGTATATGTTCTTAAAACAAGTTTGAAAAGTAGTTAAAATCGTTTTAAAACCACATTTATTAAACTTCAGAAAACATTTCTAATTTATGCATCACTCAAAACATGTAAATGAAAACAAGTTTATAAAAAAATCAGAAAATTGGTTAATTAATCAAAAATAATTTTAATTATAAAAATATTAGAAACGTTTTCTTTCAAATGTATTTTTATGAAATATATAAGATGAATTATACGTATCACTTTTTTTCTTCATCTTCTAAAGTATAAAGAGTATCCAACAACAATGTCTTCCATTATTGTTCAAGAAGAAATTAAGTTTTAATTATACAAACTTTTGTTAATTAAATTATTTTAATTATTGGAAACGTCTCTATTGTATAACGCTTTACTGCTGAAATACGTGCTAGTTTTATATAGTTTACTTTTATACTTTTGGACTGAAACATGAATATTCTGAATGAATTATGTATAATATAATGGATTCTGAAAGATTAAGGTATCTAAAGCAAAAATATATCAGGAGAAAATATCAGATTAAACGGGATACACCTTAAATTTTTTATTCTTCTTCGTGAGGGTCTCAACGATCACATCAAAGAAGAAGCAAGAAGTTTTTACTATAAACAATAGTTTTATTCTTAAAGCAGGAATATTCAAGATATCTACAACTAGACCTCCTGATGTTATCAACAAAAAATAATTGTATGAATCCATCTTTAAGATCATTGAGAAATTAGATAGTTATTATGGCAAAATGAGCCCATAAACTGCACCAAGCTTGTGAGGCTCAAAATTATATTTTCAATTAAAATTAATTTAAGTCATTCCCTTGCTATCTATTTGTAACACATTCGTTCAACTAACAAAGTACCTAATGAATTTAAAGTACCGCAAAACAGTTACAACTACGTAGTTTTATATTAAGTATTCGAATCGTGTAACGCAAAACTATATGGCCAGTCGTCCATCGTGTCATCCGGATAACAGTTGATGGGCGTTGTTTTTCCTTCTTATCTTGTCGGCGTTACTAATAGCAAAATTATACAGAAACAGCTGATAGATGTCGAAAACTCTTATCTAACGAGAGTATTGGGTTACGCCAAAATCAGATGGGTTTTGGTGGTGATAGATAGGAAGATAGGTCGCGAAAAAGGTTCGAGTTACTTGTGGAGGAGATCCAATTTACATTATTTTTGTCAGAAACGATTCATGTTTCTTTTTTCAATACATTTGAATATGTGTTCTATAAGCTGATTTGTTGCACATTCCTTAACTTAGTATTTTAAAATGAAGGCAACCCATTGGATAACCATTCTTTTTCTGTTGGGATTATATTAGATATATTTCTAGCAGTGATATAAATCTATATTATTAATATATTCATTTATTTTTCTCTCTATTTTATAGATTATAACCAGCGCCCGAGGGTAAAGCAGCGAGAGTTAGGGGTCGTTCTATGGGAGGGTCGCGGCTTTTCGCGACGGGCCCCACCGTTATCAGGAGCGATGAAGGACAACAACAATTGCCCATTGGCCGTAGGCAAGTCAAACACATTATTTTTTTATTCTAACTATAGTCAATTTTCTTGACAACCCTATGGACAGAGTTGAAGTAAAAATACTCATACTAGAATTATTAATAATACTCATAATTCAACAAATTAAATTGATCTAATTCGTTAACACAACCTACGTTTTATATAATTTCACGTGTACGGAAGTAGGTCAGATATGTTGACATTTTGCAAATTGAATTTGATACTTCTATGCATGTTGATGACATTATTACTCGAATGACATATAAATACCATGACATTTTAAAAATTATACTTCAATTTGGCGATGTGATGAATTTAATCAACAAGATTATAATAGTAATAATGATACATTTTAACATACACACACAAATAATACTTAGATTTATTTGAGTAATGAACAATTAACATTAATGATTTATATTATTTAGTCTGCGTTTTAACACTATTAATTTTACTACAAATTTTTAATTAACTATCAAATAACAGTCACAATTTACTAAAAAGTCCACTATAAGTCGCGTTGTAATAATGTCTCAATTTAAATATATTTTTCACCTGCATGATTATAAAATTTAATAGTGTTATGATTATATATTTCATGCAAGGTCATATATAATACGATGCACAATCATTAAAGTAAACAATTACGTACATTAATGAAAAGAATGTGACTTTATCGGAATTTCATATTATTCATTTCCAAATATTTACAATAACGATCCATATGTTTTAAAATAATACCCATATGTTTTTCTATTCGCTGGAAAATATTTTTGAGATTATACCATATAATTTTAAATATCTACGTGCTTAAGTTCAGATAAAGAACTATAAATGTTTATTATGCTCGTGTTTTCCAAATAATTGTTATTTTGCTTACTTAACAAAAACAAAACATTTTGCTTACTGAAAAATATTATATAAAAGACTATAAAGCTGACTTGACAAACTCTTGCTTTCGTAATAGTCAATTCAATTGAAAAGTTCACACTAGCATATACTCTGTGTAACAAATAAATTTTCTTTTTTGTAGAAAAAAAGCGATTTTATAACTTTCTGCTTATCGTATGAAAAATTATCAACAAGTGCAATCAAGTGTACTCAGTGCTAGTGATAAGACATTGTGAAAATATTATTTTCTGCTCGTTTTGCCAAAGCTATTTTGAATCATAATCAAATATTTACATTCATAGGGATAGACATCAGTGCTTAGAAATTCAAAATTTGCAGTTTAGTGAAAATACCATCAAGAGTTTAGAAAATTATTAAACCATATACGTGAAAGTTTTGAAAAATGTGAATCGTTAGAATGCTTGCTTGCTAATACCACCATATCTATATTTCATGTTCACGTTGTAATTGAAATAATTTATATTTAAAAATATAATATACTACATATAAATATAATAATAAACCGCAAACTATAGGACTCACAATTTTACCATTTTGGGGTCTCCAACAGTGTCTAATTCGACTCTGTATATTGGTTTTAGCTGATAAGAAATTAGTCACAAGATAAGGTATTCAATTAATCATAACAACGATTGGTATCAATCATTATAACATATTCTCCATAATATATTCGTTGCTAAATAATTAATTAAAAATAATAAAAATCCAATAAGAAACTAATAAAGTTTGACAGCTGTTTGACAGTTACACGTGGTGCTATCTAACGTGAAGTCAGCAGTATCACAGCCCACATAACCTAACGTCACGTTCTTCTGTCATTTACTGTCCATCTGTCACATTCCTAAGACTTTCCATCGTAAAACTGTTATAAATCCAATAAGAAACTTGTTATTAAAATAATAAAAATTGTGATTTTACAGAGAATAATAACAGTTCATTGCCTACCGGCGAACTGGCCCTGTTAGCAAAGCTGGAGGAGGCAAATCGCCTCATTGAATCTGATGCAAAAAGTTTAAATTCATTGTCAGGAAATTCAGCATCTGGACATTCCAGGAAGAGTTCTGATACATCACAGATATCATTAACTAGTGGTAAACAACTTGTTATATAAAATAAAATTAGTATAAAAATAGTTGAGCATATTGTAGATATGAATAATTAATATTACTAATTTGCATGCCTATAAATGCTTTTAAAAGATTATAATATTAATAATATTAATAATCCTTTTTACATAATAATTATTGACTGTATATAAAAAAATGAGACACCATTAAAACAGCATGTTGTATGATATTTTGCTAACCCATTTTTTATATAAAATAAACAGTCCTTTAAATATTAGAAAATTCAACTTCTACTAATCTGCACATAACATTAAATTATCTCACTTTCACTAATTATACTAACGCATACTTAAATTTTTTCAGTATTTGCTAATAGAATGATATCGATTTAAGAACCATTAACCATGTTTTATTATTGCGATTAACTCAGAATTAATACTTTAAATTTATTTAAATCAAAATAAAACTTAATGTTAACAATTCAATAATAGGTATCCCAAAGGCTTTATTTTGAAAGAATGATCGCAGACCGAAGACTTAAAACAATCTTGTATATATTCGAGGAATGATTTTGAATTGATTATAATTGTAAAACTTCAGAACTCAATATGAATATACACGAAGAGAAAATATTGGAAATGGCCATGTCTGTTAGTGTGAATCTAAATAAAATACTAATATAAATGTGTTGAAAATATTAATATATTACATTCCATATATAGGGTCTGAGGAAATTACAATATATAACTGTCAAACAAATAGATTCCGGACGAAATATTTTTTTAAATGATGGTAACTATTTATGATTCCAAAGAATTAATAGTTTCATTGTCCGTTAACAATTGGGTGCTTGTTACTGGTGGTGGGTTAAGGAAATATATTAATTTTTGTATATTTATAATGTTGGGTTGAATGTTATTTGCAATAATAAAATATGGGTAAAAGTTTTGTATATTATGTGTTTTAATTTTTGTTAATAAATAGTGCTATTGGATCATCGTGTTGGTGATCACATTATCATTAAATATATTTGCTCGGCTACTTTCATATATTATATGATTTCTTTTATTTTCGTAACATATATGTTATATGTATATTTTTTTCACTAATATGGTTTTCTTGGTTTTGAGAAAATAATCATTTTGTTGTGTATTATGGGACTTTTATCTGAACATACAAATTATAGGGTAAAATCTTTACTGATTCAGAATTCTAAACAGCATTATTTCAAGATCGTGCCAAGAAATGTTTTTTAATGTGCATCATATGAAAAAGCATGAAATTAATCATCTTTATATTAACTCACATCTAATCCCATTTGATTCGAATAAGAATAAAAATAGGGAGCATATTCTGATTAGAATTAACTCAATGTTTTTCAGGGTGATACTAATAATTGAATTCGATTAGCATTGTCTTGTACACGAGTTTGCTTAATGTGCCAATGATATTTTTAATTAATGCAAGTTCATTATATCGCCAATTTTATCGAAATTCAAATTTTACCAGGAGCGAGTTCGGGCCACGACCGCGTGGATTGCGCCGGTTCGGAGAATGGCGGAGCGGGTTCCGGTCCGGGATCCGCTCCGGGATCTGGTGAAGAAGACCAATGGTCTCTCTGGTCCAGGATAGTAGCTGATTGGGACGCGTACAACGCCGCAACTGGCAAACGAAAAACCTCCCTTGTACCCGTAGGAAGTGGATCAGGTGGAGATAGGAATCAGCCTTGCATAAAGGAACTGGTTAGAAAAGGAGTACCTCATCATTTCAGAGGTATCGTTTGGCAGCTACTGTGTGGCGCACACGATTCACCTGATAAGAAGCAATATGCCGAATATATTAAGGTATAAAATCACCAAACTGATCAGAAACTCTACATGAAATTACAGGATTGAAAATATAATCTGGTTCTTAATATTTCAGGCAACGTCTGCTTGTGAGAAGGTAATACGACGCGATATAGCTCGCACGTATCCCGAACATGATTTTTTCAAAGAGAAAGATGGTTTAGGACAAGAAAGCCTATTTAACGTAATGAAAGCGTATTCTCTTCACGATCGTGAAGTCGGATATTGCCAAGGATCTGGTTTCATAGTCGGCCTTTTACTCATGCAAGTGAGTGAAAAATTTGTATATATTGAAATACATTATTATGGTTGAAACATTATTGCGAAAAATATTTATTAATAACAAATATATTTTGTAGATGCCAGAAGAAGAAGCATTTGCTGTTCTGGTAAAAATAATGCAAGAGCACAGGATGCGAGATATGTTCAAGCCAAGTATGGCCGAACTTGGCTTATGTATGTTCCAATTAGAAAGTTTGGTACAAGATCAAATTCCTGAACTTCATGTACATTTTCAGTCACAGGTAGTAAAATTACCACAATAAATTTTGCTGTTGAATTCGTCACTGAGACAAATGAATGACTCTATGAATAATAATCTTTCCAGGGCTTCCATACATCGATGTATGCAAGCAGTTGGTTCTTGACATTATTTACAACTGCACTTAGTTTACCATTAGCATGCCGAGTAATGGATGTATTTCTATCGGAAGGTATGGAAATTATTTTCAAAGTGGCTCTTGCAATGTTAGGACTTGCCAAAGCTGATCTGCTGTGTTTAGATATGGAAGGCATGCTTAAGGTTTGAATACAAAACAAGAATATATTAAATTGTCAGAAAAATGATAATAATAAGTATATTGGGTTTCTGTAGTTTTTCCAAAAGGAATTACCACCGCGTGCGGAAGCCGATCCTGAAGGACTTATGAATAATGCCTATAATATAAAAATTAATTCGAAAAAGATGAAGAAGCTTGAAAAAGAATATACCGTCATCAAAACTAAAGAACAAGAAGAAATGATTGAGCTGAGAGTATGTTTATAAATCAATTTTAATTTGATAATATAGTTCTAAATATTATTTATTAATACAGAGGCTCAGGAATGAAAATCGTCTTTTACGACAACGCAACGAGCTTTTAGAAGCCGAAAGCGCAGAATTAGCCGATAGGCTCGTTCGAGGACAAGTTAGCCGAGCTGAAGAAGAGGAAACAACTTACGTTGTTCAAAGGGAATTGGCAGCTTTGAGGCATACACACCTTTTAACCACACACCAATTAGAAAATGCTCATGAAGAAATACGAGCACTCAGTCTTATGTTGCAGGATCAAGTAAGTCGATTTCATTAATACCCGTTAAATTATATACAATATTTTTTTAATAATCTCTTTCACATATTCTTCACTTGCACCATGGTTATGGGTCACATATATTTTTGTTGAAGTTAACACTTATTAACCAACTATTAATTATGTTCATAAAATTTGTTTCATACTAGGCACAATTTATATAAAATATTTTTTTAACAAATGCAAGATATTAGCTGTTAGAAACTTTGAGGCACAGTTTTATTTACATATTTCAAAGAACAAAATGTAGTAATTGTTAGATTTTTGTATTTAATAAATTTTGTATTTTAAGTAAATTTTTATGAACATTATGATACAGACTAACCGGTAATGGAAATGGTGTTAGTTTTAGCATATTGCAACGTATTTTAAAACTTCCACATTTTTTTAAATTGAATTACATTTAAATTTAGCTAAGAAAAACGGGAATAAATATGTATTATTGCGGATAAATAACATTTTATTGTCTTATATTCAAAAGTCTACTTTTCAAAAATAAATAAAAATTGAACTTTTTCAGAATAATGCCGGATCTTTAGATTCTGTGAGTAGCCATTTGGAATTTTAAGATTGTATAAATTATTGTACGCATGAAAAATTATAACAAAATCTCGTATATAAAAATACTGATTAACTTAACAATTCAATGAAATCACTATAAAGAGCTGAAGCTCATAGTGGTTGTATATTTTAAACTAAGTTTGAAAAAAAAAAGAATTATTTTTATTTGTATATGTAAACCTAATGTTTGTTTTAACATATTTTAATTGGTTTGTATGTTTATGTTATCAGTACTAACATTGGCATTTAACAAAATTATGCATGCTTTTTTATAATTTTGCGATAAGCTTATTTTTGTAATTTAATTTTGTAAAAAAAACTAAACGAAATAACTCTAAATGGCTTCCCATGTTGTATTATTATGCATATTCAATACTAGAACTAAAGAATTAAAAAATCGCTGATTGATTATTTCAGTCGATCAATTAAATGCTTCTGTATGCATGAACACAATTTTAAAAATAATGTAATGTATATTAATAAATATTGTATATTATCGATGCGATAATGTTACACGAATCACAAAGAGACAAATAGTATGCTATTGATGGGCTATGCTTATAACACCTTAATTTATTTTTATTTCACCAGTAATTTATTTTAGTTTAGTTTATTATAATTTGCTTTAGCAGTTACATTAACAAACGCTGTAATATAAACGGCTTGAAAGCTCTGACGCGCAATCATGATCTACCACTAGAAGACTGAATAAATAAAGGAACAATTACTGATTTCTAGTATATATTTATTAAAACAATGAATCGCGACCACTATCAAAAACACTAATTAAGCAATCTGCAAAGTATGAATAAGAATAAGAATAAGAATTAGATAAATCAAATAATTTCATTCAAATTTCTTTTTTTGCGAAGACTGCTCAGTCTCCCAGTGCTTCTCATCCGCGGTTTCAGAGTTGTTCAACAAGCTCGCTTTAACGCAAAAACTACTCACAATTAGGTTACAATACTTTGTTTTAAATTCAATTATCAATTATATTTTTCTTAATTTTTTTTTCCAAAGTGGTTATTTTTTGTATGATTTTCACGATAGCATACGTCTCGACAATCGTCTTTGGATGAACTGTCCATGAAAGACGAATCGTTAAAACAGAAAGAAGAAATGGTGACTTGTTTACAGCAGGAGCTGGTCAAAGTGAGGCTACGCGAGGCCGAGAATGACGCCTTGATCCGCGACCTCAGAGCTAGGATTAATGAGCTTGAAGAGGTTTGTGTAAATGTTGTATGTATGGTCGTTGTACAGTGTACATTTTTCAGGAATAAATATAAGAGCTTGTATAAATATTTGTTACGAAGCATGCTTTTGTAATTAATCAAAATATTGGGGAATAAAATGATCAAGTTCATGGCATCATATATATCATTGAAAATATTGCTCTAAAATCTAAACAATCTACAAATAACGACTTCATGTATTCGTCAACTTGGCGTTCAGCACATTATCAAAACGCAATGTGAAAACTGCATGTCTTGTGTTTCTTCTTTTCAATGTTAAAGATTTTTATAAAATTGATTTTTCAAATTCAATAATATTTGAATTACGCATATTAATTGCCAATTTTTATTTATTATCAGCTTTGATTGGATTTTGTGTGAATTACTACGTTTGATGCCCAGTATCCAGAAATGCTTTAATCCCGGATTATAAACAATCAAACTATTAATTTATGCTGATTTTTAATTTTATTAGGAAAAGAAAAGTTTGCGAGAAACCACTCCTGATAATTCTGTAGCTCATTTACAAGAAGAACTCATTGCTGTTAAATTGCGAGAAGCCGAAGCTAATTTGTCTCTCAAAGATTTGAGGCAAAGAGTTCAAGAATTGGCTGCCCAGTGGCAGAGGCATTTACAGGTTAGTAAGAAATAATTGTCATATAATTTTATCAATGGGTTTTATTTGAGAAGAAATCAGATGATATCAAATAAAAAAATCTTCAATCTAACTAATCCACAAGTATTATATCAAATATTTGTTCTATTTAGGAGCACAAACAAGAATCCAATCCAGCTCCAGATAGCACACCCAAGAAATTACTTTTCTGGGAAAATCGCGGAAACGAAACTCAAAAATTAGAAGAAGAATTGATGACGACACGCATTCGAGAAATGGAGACGTTGACCGAGCTTAAAGAATTGCGATTAAAGGTAAATAAATGCTCTAATAAATTCCTGCTACGTGTAGAAATAATTAGTTCTAATTAACTATGTTTATGTGCAGGTAATGGAATTAGAAACTCAAGTACAAGTCTCTACAAATCAATTACGAAGGCAAGATGAGGAAAATAAGAAACTAAAGGATGAAATTGAATCTGCCTTGACAAGGGAGAAGGAGCAGGCTGCTAAGAGCAAGGAACAGCAACATAGGTCCGTTTGTTACATTGAAAATTACATCAAATGTGTATATATATTAAATACATTCAATAATTTATCACAGTTAGATTCATTTTATATAATTAAAATGAGTTATTTTCTCAACTTATCTTGACTATTTAAAAAATATATATATACTGAACATATATTGGATTCTGCGACATCCAAAGCATGTTTGAAGGAAACTGAATTGAATCTGCGTTTGTGTCAGAATAATTTATTTAACTTTACAACATGTGTGTTTATTAATGAATTATTGTTCTTTCTCTTATATAGATATACAGATTTAGAAAGCAGGATGAAAGATGAGCAGATGATGGCAAAAATACGTGATGCCGAGCACGCCCAACACGTGGCGGAGCTGATGCAAAAAATTGGAGTTCTGCAAATGAAGGTAATTTTTGAATAACAAATAAGAAATGGCTGAGTTTAAACAATTCCGTGTCATGAATTATATATGTTGATTTTCTATTTTAGAATGAAGAAATGGTTGCAGAAGGCGAACTCCGTTGCAATTTGGATGACAGTGATAAAGTTCGCGAGCTTCAAGATAAAGTGGCCGATCTCAAAGCCGAGGTATTTCTATTTGAAATAAAACTAATATTTTATATAAAATATCACAAATTTTGCTTTTGTTTCAACTCACTGTAAAAATAATAAACACGCTTCTAACAATGCTAATTATTATTAACGCTGTGTTAAAAATCTAATTATTAACAGAAGAGTTTATTGACGCAAATATACACACGGGTATTATGAAATAATTGTATTTTAAAAGCCCGTGCTTAATTTGCACAAATTTATATATAAAAGCTCAATTAATTTAACACCTACTAATTCAAGTTTCCCAAAAAGATTTTCAATCATTCAAATATTTTAATTATAATTTTATAATGCAGTATTTCTAATTGATTTTAGTCTTTAATTACTCAAGTGTAGTTTAGTTGATTTTATTATCTTTTTGGGAAAACTCATTTCACAGGGTCTTATAACACACTAACAATTGTCATATTTCTTCATGAATAGTTTCCGACACCAATCATGAGCCCAGAGACCGAGCCTTGGAAATGGCTCGAGTAAGTCACGCATGTCATACAAGCATGTTTTCTTTTTAATTTTTTTTCTCATATCTTCATTAGATCCGTAAAATAAAATCTTAATTAGTTATTATGATTCTTTTTCTATAATTTTGGTTCCAAAATAATCGAATGAGTACGATTTAACTTTAATGCATAAATCATATACCCTTCCCCTCAGAATTATCTTAGTAAGAATTTGCCCTTTTGAGAGTTTTAATGATAACTATAATCTTATAAATCTAAACTTTCAATATTTAATATTTATTATCCCTGCATGTGACTTTATTTACTGTTTGTTTTAGTTTATAAAATACTTCACGCACGCCTAGCATGTTATAAATATTTCTTATATATTTATAGTTAGTTTTGTGTTGTAGAAATTAGTTATTAGTATAATAAAATCGTTGTATCAACTTACAACGTTTATGATAATAGTCATTCCTTTGTGTAATATAAAAAAGCTTGAATTTTGAAAAAATGGAATCTTTGGAATTCTAATGAAAGTAAATAATACTTGTGAAAGAAATAAACAATAGTAATCTCTTATAAATATTGAAATTTGATATCATTTCCCGATGGCGTAATTTAGAATGATATGAACTCTTCATGAATATTTTCCTTGAAAGGGAATGTATGACCTATCTGAATGTTAGCATTTCTAATGAATCTGTGATTTTTTTTCCAAAATTCTAATGTAAATTATCGCAGGTCATGAGGTTAGAGTCGTGGAAAGAGCATTGGGTCGGAGGTTGTGTAACACCTCGGGTAAATTCACTTCGCAGCCAATCCTGGGATAGTGATACCATGGAGGTAAATGACAACCTCAATGACGAATTAAGACTTCAGATGACTGGTTTAGACCACACATCCAATGCTTCATCTGACAGCATCTTCAAACCAGAAGAAGCTAAAAACCTTGAAAATAATTCCCAAAATTTATCAGAAGAAACTCCACAAATCATACCAGACACTAAGGAAAATACCAAACTCACGCTCGAAGAGAACAAGCTTTTAGATGTAATAAATGAACCAGAAAAAGTGTGATGGAAACTCCAAAAAAGTGTAATGATACCATTATATATAGGCGCCTAAAAAGTGTGATTCCACCAAAGGTGCTAAAATCGCAAAACAATGTAAATACCATATTTAAAATATAGGTCATTTATTATATAATACATTAGATTATTCGTTATGTATATAATATGATACATATTTATAATTAATGCAAAAATACATTTTAGAAAAATGTGTTTTTACTAAAATTTAATGTATTTTTTACTATATTATAAAAATATGTATGTTTAGGTACTTATAACGTGAATTTTTATGTGTTTCGGTGTTTTATATGATGGAAAACAATTTGATTTAAAAAGTGAAGAAGAAAGTTCACTCTAATTAGATTATTTTATATGGAATAGCTTTCTCTCATACTAATGAAAAACAGTCAATATTTTTGAAGATTGACTTCTAATAATAAGCGTATTACTTTAGAAATGTTGTTGAATGTAAGTAAATCAATATTTGTAAGTAGTAAAAGAATTTGATAAATGTGAAAAAAATTACTTATGATGATATATCTAAAACATAGTTATATATTTATTTTCTTATTTACTAATTTATTCTTTGATTTTTTATATTTACCTGATATGTATTATAAGTCTCAGATTTATTTTTTATTATTATTAATATTATATATTATTACTATTTTATTAAGCAATATATTTGATCATTTCTGGCTGTGTTATAGGTGCAGAACACAATTTATTGGCAACAATTTTTATAAAAACGCACTAAAGTTTTTAGAAGTGCATTTACCGAAATTGGAATCATTATAAACGAAATAAGATAAAGAGAAATAATATTATTTGTTGATAATAATATTTTAAAAAGCATAATATTTTGACTTTTTAACAAAAATTAATTTTTTGCTTAGTATTTTTTGAAAACGTATTTGATATCAGTTTCTCAAGTTCAGGTTTGATGATTACGGGATAATTTGCAATATCATTTTATATACTCACATATTTAGTAGAAAGATATTTGAATTTATAGATATATTTAGCTAAATCAACGCATTTTTTCATAGAAAATTATATTATGTAGTATATTATTCTATTTTCGTATTTTTTATATTCCTTTACCAAGTATTATAAGGATAATCAAACAATTTACTTCAAAGATTTTTTGTTTATTTTTTTTTAATATTACCAAATTTGGTAATAAATTTTAGTAACAGTAGAAGTAGCATAAACATGTAAGAATTAGCAACATTATGTGTATATTAATTATTAATAACCGGAGATTTGTTAAAGTTATTTTAATATATTTCATACATAGCCCAATAACTGATTCATACTATATGTAAAACAAGAGCAAGCATTTGGAAAAAATTGGATAAACTTAGAATTTTGCATTTAAATAAAAAATATTTTTTTTAATCAATATGTTTTATGTATAGATATGAATTGTTATGCAATATATGTTTGTTGATTCCTATATGATACGAAAAATGGAGCAAGACTTAAGATGTAGTGAAATTCCTCTAATGTGATACAATATATCAAATAAATATAGGATAAACCCAAATATTTTTTATTTAATTTTTCAGGTTTATTTAATTTCACAAAATTGATTAGTAATTTACTGTGAATGATTCAAATTATTCTAATTATCTTCTCACATAAAATATTTTACAGAAATTTTCCTTCGTTCTATTTAATCAATAAAAAATGAAACCATAATAAACCATATAAATCGTCTGGGACTTAAAATAAAAATTTTGAAAAAAATATGGTAAGCTTTGGAAAAGAACAATATCAATGAATTAGTAAGTATTGTCTTCATTATAGATGCAACTTTAAAAATGACAACCCGGATAGATAATTTTCCAGCAGTTAAGATCATTAGAGACACGCAAGTTTAAGGTAAGGTTAAACGTATATTTTCAATAACAAATTAAAAACAAGATCGCAATTTTATTACATATTTATTATATTTGTAGTATCCATCAAAAATGGATTTATTAATTTGCGTTTTTTATTTTTTAATAATTATAAAGTTCGCAGAAAATATCTATTCATATAGCTTTAGTTGCAATTTTTGAGGCGAAAATCAGCTTAAAAATTAAAAAAGTCTGTTTAAATAATGATATAACTAAATAAAATACAGGAACTTCAGATATTGGTATTACAGAATTTTTATTTGCTTGATATCAAGTTTTTACTTGAAGTAAATTTCAAATTTTACCGAAAATATTTAATAAAATTATTGGTTGAAATCTATTCTTTTCAGATGCATAAAGATGTGACTATGGTGCTTACACTATAGTTTAGATATACCTTAAAGAATATCAAAAAGATGATGAAGAAAAAACATTAGTACTTGATATCTATTATGTAAATTGTGAATTATTAGAAATGCATTTTCAAAACAAATCCATAAATGAATAAAAAATAGACGACGTCGCGTGTGCACTAAATGCAAAGAGTTGGCATGCGTTTGGTCTCAAGGTTAATCTACCAGGAAAACACGATTATATAAATTACTGGATGATTGCATTCAATAACAGTTATCAATTTTAAAATACTAACTGGATGCATTTTAGATCATTCAGAAGCAAATTGTCGTTCATTAATAAATCTGTAAACAGATTTCAGTGAATTGGAATTGGAATTGCAACCATAACTGAAAGCTAAATCTAACATTAATATAGTTCACCTCTTTTAATATATAGATTGGATTCAAAGTACATTGTTTTTTTTTATTAAATCTTTCATGGATATTTTATGAAAAAAATTTTGCAATCACATTATATTTTTGTGATTTTTGCTATCCCTTGAAATTATCTATTTAAAAAAGGTGTAAAATATTAGCTTTTCCAGTAAAATTCCATTATTAAATTTGCAAAGGTTCAATTGTCTTATGCAAGGCATCTAAATAAAGAATTATATATTAGTAAATTGAATAATTTGACAAACTTTGCTACCCACGTTGGTTCGCAAGTTATTTATTGCGACTATGTCGTATTATTCAATTGAAATGTAATTCATAAAAATCAAAATATAATTGAATTGGTTTCGAAAAGTTCCATGTCCCTCAAAATTCATCGAGTAATGCATTTAAAAAAATTTTTTTAGAAACTTTATGAACAAATAATGATGAATTAAAAAATTTATAACTTTATGAGATGATACAAATTTAAAAAAGAGTTTATAAAAAATATTATTTCTATTTTAGCTTCCCTAATGTTATGGAATTTCTACTGATGAGCTATACGTTTATTACAGCAATATATTCCAGAAATAGTATTTCTACAGAAATAATGTAATAAATATGAGAACAATGTTCTTTAAAAAAAAAATAGAGAAAAATTTATAATGAATTACCACTCCTTATGTGGAAACCCTATCAGCTATCCTAAACGTCCAAAGTCATCTAAGATACTTTTAAAAATATTTAATCAAGCTCAATTTTGAAAAACTTAAAACTCTTAAAGCAAATAATTTTTCAAATGATTGTTTTCTGCTAATTTATTTGCTTAGTATATCTATTATAATAGATTTGCTATACTTATAAATTTACTGAAGAAAATGTTTAACTATGCTCGATTTTCAAGTTGTCGAACTTCTACTACATTGTATTTAATTTGATGTGTGATGTATTTAAAATTGTTTCAATAGAAATAAAATTATGTAGGAAAACGTATACCACCATCTAAAATTCCAGCATCTAATACGAAATTGGTACTTTTGGGAATGCTCTATAATCGTTAAATATAGTAGTTAAAATATAATTTGATTTAAATCATTTAACAACTATTATTTTAAAGGAAATATATACCACTCGTTGCACGTATAATATAAAATAAATTAAGTATTTGCTATTCTCAACATCCAATGATTGGCACGTACTCTAGGAAATTTTTATTCCCGTACTATTTTAAAGTTATATACCGCTTTCCATATAATTTGATACAATTTTTTCCATGAGTAAATAGAAATTTAAAGATGAATAAAAAAGTGACTTCAATAAATTCCTACGCCAGACACATTAAGATACTTTTAGAAATATTTATCTATGCTCCATTTAAGGAAATCAAAATGTCCTTTACCCACTTCAATTCAATACGAATTCTTAAAAAAAAATCTACCACCCATTGCATAAATAAGAAAATAATTTTATTAAATTCCCACGCCTAATACGGAATTAAGTACCTATTACCCTCCTACCTCGAGGCTAAATCATAATCAAATTGACGCTCAAAAACAAAAGGGGCCCGGCAGATGATTTGGACTGACACTTCGGCGCGGATGCGGCACGACATCAGCAAAATTGTAGCGATTTAACTAAATGAATTCGCCAAACTAAATAAGTGTCAAGGTCGATGGAACCTTTTCCTTATCAGCACCCACGATTGTTGACGACACGGTTATGTAAGGCTAATACCGAAATCTGTGATAACCGAATTTAATATAAGGTCCTGGTAATGAAATACTCCAATGGGGGTAGGCGGAATTATACATTAAATTGGAATATATGCGATACGTGGATTTAATTAGCGGATAGAAATTTATGAAGGATATTCAATGAAACTCTGTACGTTTCAAATATGTTAATTTCTACAATCGAATGCAGATGAACACTTTTTTTTATTGATTATTGATTTAATTTTAGTATGATTTTCACATTATTTATTCCTCCTCGCTGCCTTTCTACTCGTTTAGTACATTTTTAGTCCTTATTTTTTTATTATGAATAAGAACTGAATAGTTCTATAAGCTGCTATGATGTAGCATCAGTTGCCCTTCTGTATATAATATATTTTTATTATTAGAATTTATCTAATATTGATGATATATTTTAATGTGCAGCAATGCCAGAAAAGACTATTTTTACTTGACAACATACTTTTGAATTATATTTAGTAAAAATATTTTTCACTACTGTTTGATATCAGGTTGTTCGAACTGCAGGATTGCTTGAAACGCTTTGAAGGTGTTCGTTTCAAATAAAGTATAATTCGTTACAAATAAAGTAAAAATAAAAGAAATTCGATGCTTGAGCAAATTTCGATGTATGTCTA